CGGATCTGGAAACTCGTGTGACGGCTTCCAAAAGGTTTGTAGTCTTCAAACATGGTTAATCAATTTTGCAGGCCTATCGGGAGTGCGATGTATGCCTCTGGGGGAGTTTTGCCGTACCACGTTGTGAGAGGGCCCGTGCTCGGGAGGATATATTCGTACATTGCTCCTTCCTTCCTTCTTGAACATCAACGTTTCACTTTCACTCGCCTTTTTCCAAAAGCCTACGAACGCATTGCCATGGCTGCGCTGCCTGTCCCTCCAAAAGGCGTTGGGACGAATCGATGTCTTCAGCTTTTGACTCAAAATATCACGAGTATCTTACCATGTCTGTTCCTGCCTGGTTCAGCAAAATTACGACAACTTTACTATGTCTGCCCTCCGGTGTCGAAAAATTACAAAACTCAACCCATGTTTGCTGCTGTCTCTGTCTCTCTGGAATCAACATACCATCGAAGCAACATCAAGGACTCTGCGATATCCGTCGACTCTGGACGGCTGGCAGATGTATCGATACCGTTGTGCTTCAACCTATCTGTCACCTTGCCGCGGTTCTTACAGCGACGTACCAGCACCGAAGCGCTCGGCATGTGAGTCACGAACGGATGTGTCGGCCTAATGGTCACACTCATCATCGCGTCGACGTCTCTCACCACGCCATGCGATGTCTAGTCCGGGAGCGCACCTGCGAGAAAGAGGCTCGGTTAGGCTCCGCGGGATGACGCTCGCTGCGCTGACGATGGTGAGACTCATCGACGCATCGACACACTCACCACGACATGAAGCATTACTGTCTCCTGCTGCTGGTCTTTCCTAACACACCTTACCACGACATGCAGCATTGCCGTGGTTTGCGACGACGCACTCACCTTATCCACCTCATTGCCTCCCCTCTCCGACCCTGCCCTACTACGTACTCGTCTTACACACCTCATCCTCCGCTGCTGTCCGGCCTTCTTCCTTACCATGAAATAACGCCTTCGAAGTATCGCAAGCAAGCTAGCGACGGGCTCACGCTCGATAGCTCGTAACAACAAGGCTACTCGACTACTTACACGACCCGGCTGGACAACTAGATCGTCTGCGAGCCCGACAGCTCCGCACAAAACACCTCACCACGACAGGCAGCGGTATCTTCGCTCGCTTGTGGTCTGCAACGGCGCACTCGCCTTACACACCTCATTCCCACGCCGTCCGGTCCTCTTCCTTACCACACCCCCGTCTTCCCGCCTGCGGTCGCATACATACTTCTGGTGGGCTCCTTCCGTGACACATTTGGGCATGACGGGTTGCGCGCGCAAGATCGGGCCGCAATACTGGTCTTACATAGCATCCACCCTGCGGTTCCCACTGTCCAGACGCTTCCTCATACGCCTGGGGTGTCATGTCATCGATGATTATGGCCTCACCCCCGTCAAGATGCTTACATGATATGTTCTCAGATTCTTCAATATTGCACATACGACCACAGAATCTTGAGACACAGCGCTTCCCGTTCGCTCAGCGGTACTTAAGCAAGATATCGGCGCATTAGTACTCGGGTGGGTGACCACCGGGGAATACGCGCTGTTGTATGTTTTTGCCTTCTTTTTTGCCATTTCTTTTTGTGGTGGTGGAGACGGAAGGTGGGCGGTGTGGGGCAGTTTTTGCCTCCATATCGCTGGCGCCTTCCGTGGCGCATTTGAGCGGCTCGACTTGCGCAACGAAGGGAAAGCAGCAATACTCGCCTTACGTGTCTGGGGATTCGGCGCCTTTTCCTGCAGTGCATGGCGGGGCAGCACGAGCTCATGACTTGGTCTTCTCGCTGTCCGGCTTATCATTCTCACGGTCACTACGTCTAGCCGATGGACTGATTCGGAAGCGAGCGCAGCAATACTCGCCTTACACATTCCGGCGGTTCGTGCGTCAGGCTCAAGAGTTGGAGTTCTAGTGGCTGGCTCAACGGAATATCTGTTCGCTTTCGTCGCAGTGATTGTTACACCCATCCGGTGCTGTGCATCCTACAAAGAGAGCTGCGCCTGGCTGAGGGGCTAACGCGGAGCATTGGGAGCGAGGGCTCTCCCATCACGCCTCATATCTGAATCCCAGATACGCACGGCGAAAGAGGAATGAAGCGGCCTGGCCGATGGACTACACCACACAACCCCGAAGTTGACTGGTGGCAGTGAGAGGTATTTGGCCACGCTCAAATGCGACGATATTGACGAAGAAGGCAGCCTGGCCGATGGACCGATCGAAGACCGATTGAACGTGGTGGTTGGATCGTGCTTTCTGAGTGCCATGGTGCCAGAAGTCTACTGGATCTGCTCTCGGCCTTTGCCACACTCGAGCATCGGTATCTGGTGATGAGTGGTGTAGTGTGATTATCAGTGGAAGGAGGGACGAGAACGTTGAACAGGATGCTAGATCACATGTATCTGCTACGTAAATGAATGATGAAACTTCACGAACTATTGACCACAGTCTCGCACCTTCCCGTCCCTGGGTGCCTGCTCTGTTGACTGTTGCCAAGCAGAGTTTGTGTCTCTTTCGATGCACTCCTACACTGTGATAACGACGAATAATGAACTGATCCATCTCGCCCCTGGGGAGGCAGATTGAGCTGGCGATGGGTGCAAGTGCGCTTCGGTTTGTGTTCCAGTATCAGACGTGAGACCGACGCGTCGCGGGGACTAGCGCTGACTAAGACGGACCCTGAGCGGCCATTCGACACCCACCAGCGCGTCTCCGCGTACCTTGCTGGTCTTGCACATTGGATGCCTACCCACCACCGCTAAACCTTCACTACGCGATGAAGTCCAACGTGCGCAATCCCGATCCGGAAACGTTGTCGCGAAGGGGTCTCGAGCCGCAACGACGCAGACCCAGCAAGCTGTATCTCCAGCCGCTATCCACACTTCACGACATTATCGGTACGAATGCGCGTCGATACTCCAGACACGGTCTTCCAGAAATCGTCAAAGCCTAGATGTATCCCGATAGTACGTCCGTCACCCGATACCGTTCGTCGTTGCACTGCGGTGCTCCCCTCGACGATCGACCACCCGCCGAGGACGATGCTACACCTGATGGTAGGAGACGAGAGGCGACGGAGGGCATACATCAGGCTCCGTAGGGGTAGCGACATTCGTTGCTCACGTTCGCCCAAGCTAGGCCTCGTGATGATATTACTCATCACCGAGTGTGAACCACGAGCTTGCATCCTGTCACAGAAACAAGCTGGCTAGGACAGCAGCATCAGACCAAGAAGCAGGTCTGGCTATTGCAAGAGCCGCCGTCCTACACATGTCCGGAACGAGGAGCTCTGGAAGGAAGGTAGTGGCTGTACTTTGCGGCCCTTCAATGTCAAGACTAGACATCGCCCCTGAGTCTGATATACCTAGATCCTAGCGACTGGATCTGGACAGAGTTCTTGCTCACATGATGTGCATCTAACGGCAACGGCCGCTGGGTCTGGGAGATTCTGGACCGACAAAATATCCCCGATGCCCATTACGCTGGAACCCTCGGCGGCACGTGTCATAACGGTGGAAGCTTGACTGACAACACAAGCAAGCTAGCCAAAGCTTGGCTAGACACATCATGTTCAAAAGACGCTTACCACACTACAGAGACGCTATGGCAAATGCAGGACTCGACTCAATTCGCACCAAGTTACCCGATAATCACCACTAAAAACACGCATCGGGTTTCGCGATACCTAGCATCGTGAAGTACAATTCGTGGCAACCGGGCAGCCGTACGACTGGTGTCAGGGTGTCTATGTCAAATAAGGTTACAGGGATATCCCAGACCAAGTCATGTGGATTCAACGCCGCCTCCCGTTCTGCTGAAAGGATCCCAAAATACAAGGATACATCCAAGAATGGTATCGTCGACTTCCACGCCTGGCAGGCACACCGGAACAACACCGGCGTCCCACTCTTTCAGCTGGGTTGCAACCAATCAGCGCATCACATGGCCGAATACGGTTCGGGCCGTTCACCAAGCTCAATACAGCGAACGCAGCTTTGGCATATGAGCAGTCCGTGACATGTTCGCGATGGCTTTGTGTACCATGCCGGCACGGATGTGATGTTTGCAAATCTCCCCGTGACTTCCAATAAGGCAACATGTACGCCGATCTGTCTACCACGTTCGTGGTTACCTGGGTATGCTGGCATATGGGTACCTCGATGGTCCGTCATGCGGGTCATTGTCCATGTCTGCAATAAAAGGATCACTAACGTCCAGTACCCCTTACCACAACAGCGCAGCCGACTCAGTATGTCCCCACATGAAGTCAATTTTGTGTCTTTAGCTTAATGTGAGTGACGATGAAACCAGTCATGCCACCACGCCAACTGAGGAAAAAACTGAACACCCTGGAGTCTACGTTGACGTTGGATCACCTACTTTGCAAGTTTTTGGTTTGATGTAGTCTGCAGACCTGTTCAGGTTTTTTCTTGTATGAAGTGCCACCATGATACTGCTATAGTGGAGGTGATTAGCAGACTACCTGTAAAAGTGACGTGCTGGCAGCAGTTACACGACGTCAGGTTGTATAGGCTAACCATCCTTTCGGTGTGTATCGCGCAATCATCTAGTCGTGCAGGTTCTCAGTGGACTAGCCATTCACATGTCCAGTGGCCTGTAGGTACACTTTCCGGATCCTGTGATTAGTAGTCGATAGGATGAGACTATATCGCCTACAATCTGGCAGTGCCACCGCTCGGCACGTTGTTCGGTACTCTCCGAGTAGCTTCAACTCGAAATTGTAAACATGGCCTCTTTTTGCAGCACTGTCCCCTACACTGCATCTCTGAGTGGCCAGCATGACGCCGTTGCGATTACTCGGCGATACTACTACAGCATCACCCACTGACCACCGTTGAAGTCTATATAAACAGCAAAGAAGGACGCTTGAATACTCACCATCCCACAGCTCCTCAACACCACAACACCACAACACCACAACATCACAACATCACAACATCACAACATCAAAACAACCAACCTTTACCATGAAGTTCGTCACCACCCTCCTCGTCCTCCTCGGTGCCGTTGCCCTCGGTGAGGCAGCTGGCTGCAGCGGAGCCCGCCAATGCCAGTGTCTTTTCAACGACGGTTCTCACTGCTGTCTTTACGGCTACGTACGTCTTCCCAACCCAATACATCTCCCTCTTACTCCTTTCCTCTCTTCCTCAAACTAACAACTTTGGCAACAGAACGCCCAGACCGGCGATACATCCGACTGCACCGCCGTCTGCTCCGGCGCATCTCGCCTCCTGCAGAGCGGCGAGGACACTCCTACCAAGTGCAATGCTGGCGGCAAGTTTGCCTGCGCTGGTCTTATCACTGCTCAGGGACGCACTCCTTGCTACAACAACAATGACAGTATGTTCTCTTTCTTTTTTACATCCCGCTACGAGTGAAGCTTCCTCCGCAAAGTTTGCATCATGGTCATTTGCTAACCTTTTCCAGCTCCCGTTTAAGAGTCTCGTTGTATTTACGGGGTCGGAGGACATGGTTGAGAAATGGGAAATGGGGTTGGGACTGGGTATCGGCGTTTTACTATGCACCTTCCGTATTGAAACCAACTACTCAGACCCTACTTGGATCGTTTCTTTCACTGTCTTGTATCTGCACATCACGCCGTTTCCCAGAAAAATCTGTCCCACAGCGTAAAGTGGCTCGACTTCCAAAGCCGCGGTAGGATTCGAGCGAGCAATTATCGCAAGATTGGTGAAAATCGAATGTCGGGTTTGTTTCTCACTACAACTATCCATCTTCGTAAGTCAGACGCGCAGTTGAGCTGGAGGTTCAGCATCCGGGTGGGTGCGTTCCGGTCGCAATGAAACACCATCAAAACGCGATACGCCACAACAAAAATAGCCACCTCATCCATGCACCCCACCCATCTTAGAACCAGCTAGCGCAGATCCAAAAAGCTTAGCCTGACTTCATGCCTAATCCCGCAGGCATCAAAGCCAAGTGTTAGTTCATGCCAGGCAATCATCGCATGTGGAGAAAACTTAAAGGTATATCGTATATTCCAAACTAATCATTAAGGAGCGTAATTGACCAGGGTTCCCAAGCCCGAGTAAACCACGCAATCGACCACTTCCACCCAATTCTATCATACAATACCCAGTATTGACAAGCCCATCACCTGCGCGTCACAGACGCCGCCAGAGAGACAGACAACTAGCTCCACCCCACACTAACTATTCCAAACTATTCGAGGTATATACAACCCATTCCATTACCGTATCCATGCATCCTTCTCCTTCGTATTTATGTTTTTTTGTAACCGATCGTGATATTATCGTCGTAAGATGCTGAGCGATGCGTCTAGAAGTCCTCGCCCTCAAGGAGGTCGAGCTCCTCCTCCTGGTCGTCGTTGGTGAGTGCGGGCTGGTTGCGGGCAGCCTCACGCTTGCGCTGGGAGGCACCACCGGCGAGAGGAGCAGTGCCGGTGGTAGAGCCAGTGGTAGAGCCAGTGGCACCAGTTGCGCCAGTAGCACCGGTAGCGAGACCAGCACCAGTAGAAGCACCAGTAGTAGCACCGGTGGCGCCAGTAGCACCGGATTGAACACCTGCACCGGACTGAACGCCAGCGGCGGCGCCAGCGTTGGCAGCGGGCTGAGCACCAGTGGCACCAGTGGCTCCGGTAGCACCAGTTGCGCCAGTTGCTCCGGTCGCGCCAGTAGCACCGGTAGTAGCACCAGTCGCGCCAGTGGCTCCAGTAGCGGCACCGGCGTTGGCAGCAGGGGAAGCAGCAGCGGGAGCGGCGGCGGCAGGGGCGGCAGCACCAGCGGCGGCACCGGTAGCAGGAGCGGCGGCAGTTCCAGAGGTGGCGGCACCAGCGGCACCAGCAGCGGGAGAAGCAGCTATGTCAAGTTAGATACTGAAGTAGAGATGATTATGTGTGAAGAACTTACCAGCAGGGGCGGCACCGGCAGCGGGAGCGGCACCGGCGGCAGCACCGGCGGCACCGGCAGCAGCAGCAGCTCCAGCCATCTGGACGGGGACACAGCCACCAAAAGGTCCAGCACGAGCAGGGTTCTGGCAACGGACCATGCAGACGTTGCTCTGGCCAGCGACAGTTCCTGTGCAGGTCATGCCAGCGGGCATGGAGACGGTCAGGGGAAGATCCTGCATCTGAGTGTCCCGGTTGCGACCACGGTCGTTACCAGGAAGGTTGGTGGTGACAGTGGCGGCTTGCCAGTTGGTACCAGTACCAGTAGCGTCGACCATGCAAGTGTAAGGACCGGCACCGTCAGAGTTGACCTGGTGAACAGTCATCATGACTGAACCACCAGCAGAGACCTGAGGAAGAGTGGCGCCGTTGAGCTGCATGACCTGAGCAGTACCAGCCGCAATGTCGTTGGCACCTCCACCGAGTGTCTCACCGCAAGTGTCTGCGGCGTCACCACGGAAGCGCGTGGCATCCTGTTGGAAGGGGTTGCGGTTGGTACCGTCACGAGGAGTGTTGGGGTCGACACCGATGGCGGAACCGGCACCTCCTGCATCACCAGTAGCCTTGATGATGGCAGCGTGGCCAGCCACGAGGGAAGAGGAAGCCAAAAGGCTGATGGAGATGGTGGCAATCTTGGAGAACATGTTGATTTTGTTGATTATTGTCTGAACCGGTCAGAGAAAAGATTAGGTAGTGAAGTGAAGAGGTATTAGATAATAGAAGAGAAGAGGAGTGGTGATTACTGTAGTTGCTGGGTTGGGAACCTGTTGCTTGATGCTCTTCTAAGGTTGCGAGGCCGGCCGTCTTTATACAACGTCTGGCAGCACAGGCAGACACCGAGAAGGGTATTCGGCATCGTGACCAGCATCGACTTTGGTTAGTTCCAAGGTGGTGAGGCGCTCCGGTTTGGCCAAGACGTGATAGCCTGGTATGATGGAGTTTCAAACCCGTCGTGGTCACGTAGAAACGTTGCATGAGTTGCGGAGTCGCTAGACGAAAACGTACGAAACGTGTTTGCGGCAGCATCAAATCCAGAAACATACCGCAAACATGACTCTCGGTGTTGGATCTTCGACGTTGAAGGTGGTCTGGCAAGTGTACCGAGCCAATCTGGTGTGAAGTCGACATGATTATTGGAGACTGAGACGTTTGAATTGGTGTCGATTCCGGTGATGAGGTTGTCGGTAAGAACTTGGTACCAACTTGTCGTAGTCAGCAACAGCACACAGTGTCGCATGAATCGTCCAAAGTTTACCGGTGGATAAACGGACTTGTGGCTAGGGCGAGTTAGGGCTAAGCATTCGGAAGTCTGAGGTTTCAAAGCTTGGCAGTGAACACAAATGAACCCTTGAATCCATGAAACTGAGAGTGGCTGAGGCGGTGGACGTTTATGCGTGCTATTCGGGGTAGTTGACGATGTTCGGGCGGCTGCCTTCAAGAATGTATCGTTGACTTTGTTTGGATGTTATCATTGTAGAGATGCGTACAATTACGCTGTAGTCTAATGTACATCGAGTCGTGACTGCGCAAGTCCGTCGATCAGCCGTACTGCAATAGCCACGATGAAGATGTGCGACAGGGTGCTAGGCGAATGCAGACCATACCTGCAGATGGTGATCAGGGTGATCAGGGTCTCGGGCAGACCAAATCAAACCGGTGTTTCCATATCTTGAAGCACGAGAGCGGTCAATTGAAAGTTTCGTCGTTCCCTTCTGGGAACAAGGTTTCCTAGTGGCACATCGTCGGTTTCAGGCATGTTGATACTGCATCTGGGGTAGTTTCTGCCTCCGGCGCGACCATGATCCGGCCTGAGTGTTCCGTTTGTGGCTGCTGGTGCGCGACTGGGGTGGAACTGGTGGCCGCGGCGGGGGTGTTGTGAGGTTGGAGTGTGGTTCTGAGGCGCAGAAGACGGCCACCAGCGGCTAGGCCCGCGCATTAGTCAGGGTCTTGGCAAACCTCCGTGATGCCGACCAACCGAGGCGCGTCTCACAACACCGGTCAACATCCGAAGTAAGGCAATTGGGCTTTCACGTGCGGCGGTCGGCGGTAGCGACGGCGTATCTTCTGCTATACAATCGCAGCCATTAGCTGCACAGCCACGATGCAGCATTGGTACGTCATTCTCATTGCAAATACTGATACACTTGCCAACTGAGGCGCTGACTGTTGCGGCAGTCTGAACGAAGCCATGTCCTAAGCATAGAGTTCAAGTCGCATGCGGTACGCATCGGCTGCGGTACCTTTCCATTGCGACATCGAACTAAACGCCGCTCGGGTCCCGGCCTCCGTCGCAACGTGCCTCATACCTTTCGAAACGCCTCAGCAATCTTCACCGTCCCCGGTCTACAATGGCGAGCAGAAAGAAGGGAGCTTGCAGCCGGTGTCGCGACTGTGCGGTCGACGATAGAGCTGGAGAAGCCTTCCCGACCGACGCAGAGCCGACGAGAAGGTAGGCTACGATGTCTTGCATGGTTGCTTCAGAAAAGCCGCAAGGGTTGGACAGAGCAGCTGCTACGATGCATCGCTGTGGTATTCTCGTGGTTCAAGTTGAATAGCAGCATCGTGCGTTAACATTGTGCCGAACGCATCTCACAAAATAATGACAATAGGCGTCTCCAACGCCCTTGTCGTCTTCAACTCTATCCCAGCGTCCCCAATGGATACACATCCGGAATATTTCCCGTATCCGGCTTCACAACCGGCACGCTCTCGTACTTCTTCCCCTCTACCATCTCTCGCGCCCAAGCCGGACTTCTCCTCACCTTCAACAACTGCTCAACTGCATACCCAATCCCCAACAGCTTCTCTTCTTCCCATGGCCTGCCCAAAATCTCCATGCCAATCGGTACGCCAATTGGCGCCTCTTCACTCGGATCGGAGAAGCCCGCTGGCACGGTGACAACGGGCGTACCTGTTAATGCGGCTAAGATACCGTTACGTCCAGACTGTGACGGCGAACCGATCTTGACAACGAGGTTCTTCTGCTCGGGGTAGATAATCGCGTCGAGATTGTTTGAAGTAAAGGTGTTGAGAAGAGCGAGCCTGAGATTGCGGATCCCGGCTTGACGATCGTTGTATGTAGCGTTGCCGGTGGATGATACGAGAGCGGTGTTGACGTATTCGTATTGAGATGGGATGACCAGGAACTCCCCACCAGATTCATTGACGGCTTTGCGAGAATATAGTTCCTTCAATGTACTGGGATGCTCACCTTCAAGGGAAGGACGTTCTAGATACTGGTCCATGAGCTCGCGGTACTCGAAGCGTTGAACATCGTATGCAGTTTGGATAGCGGTTGCATTGTAGATGGTCTCGTTGATGGGAATCAGTGTCACGCCTTCTGCAGTGAGACGCGACAGGACGGTGTCCATGGCGTTATTGACCGGTGTGACTTCAGGGGAGTCTGTGCGGTTGAAGAAGCCGTTCAGTACGCCGATTCGTAGACCTTTGAGTGAGGTGCTGGAAAGCTTGAAAGTGTAGTCGATATCACGAATGGGGCTTGGGACGAGTGCA